GTAATGCGAGCAAGCCAAAGTCGATTTTCTGTGAAGCACAAACGAATTTTTCGTCAAATTTACACAGATGCTTGAAAATAAGTTTGCAACGGCTCTAATGAAAATAGACAAGTTGCATGCAACAGTTTTCTGCCGACATCTGCAACGAATTTACACAAATTATTGTGAAAATGAGTTTTGAAGCCGATTGAGGGAAAATCAAAACAGCTTCATGCAACAGTGTGCCACCGAATTTCCAAGCTTGCGTGAAGAAATATTCCAGAACAGCGTCTAAGTGTTAAGTTTCATCACATTATAAATTATTTGTTTTGAAATTCACTGAAAGAAATATAACAGACAAAAAGATACGCATGCTCGTTAATTCATAGGATTATACAGACTTCTACATTACTAAAAAATGGAAAGATGAAGATAGTGGGGTATATTTAAACTAGGATTAGAGAGAGTAAATTGGAGTGAGGATTTTATGAGAATCGCATAGTAGGGCGGTGTTTAAAATGCTCATAAAGTCTTCGCGTGCACTTACAACACTGTGCTTCCTGTCCCTCATATTGTTAGTTGATGATCAGTCAGTCAAGCACACAGTTAGGAAAAACAGTTTCACATGAATTCATGTTCAAAATATTTATAATTTTTAGCAGCTACTTATATGAGTTACAGATGTTGAAAAGTTTTTTTTTATACATTGAATGGATAAAAGCTAAAAAAAAAAGCATTTAGATTAAAAACATTAAAAACATGCCGATACTATCTTCGTTGCGTAAATAAATCAGCCTGTCAAATTTGGATTCTCACGTTTTAAATAGGTTGATGATGCGTTTATTTTGAATGTAGGTTAAATTTGGGTCATTCTTACCGTTAAAAATAATATTTATGTCGCCGATTAATAAACCGAGTATTCTGTCCCACATTAATCCACGTCTTAGTCAAAGGTCAATGTCATTTTCCTGCTGCGACGGACCCCTCAGTTATTTGATACCCATAAGAAGATGAACCAGGTAACAATTTATCATCTCATAAGCATAACGCAATCGTTAATGGTAAATATTTTCGTTTTATGAGGCGTCAAAATGCAGTTAAGCATGAAGAAAAAGTAATGTTGGCAGCGGGCCATCTATTAAAGTATCGAGAGACAGAAATGCATAAAAGTGTTTGTCTGCGAGTAGCTTCATGTTTAAAGCTCTTTCAGATTTCTATAAAAAATTGAGAAACAAAGAAAATCAATAAGCATTTGCATAATTTTCAACACTTCACGCTGCCCGATTTGGGTTTGGATTTGAGATGGGAATTGAAAAAGAGCAGAAAAACAAAAAAAATCAATAAAACAAATCCGCCAACCACATTTACGAAATTGTCAACGGCAACCAACTTGGGTCATTTCAATGATGTAATAAATAATATAAACAACGACTAATCAGGTTTTCAACTTTAAACGAAATTGTAACATAAATGCACAGATCTAAATATGAATTTAAAACGAACTTAAATTATAGCCCAACTGAAGAAATGTGAATAAATTAAGATGCAAGCCAAAAAATCAACGAAAATAAACAAAAAAAAAATAAAACACACACAAAAAAAAATGTTAATCAAAGTCTGCATAGAGCGACAACAAGTTGAAAATTGCAGCACTTTACAAAATATTGGACCGAAGTCGATTATATTATAAGCATTATTGCCACTATTATGTCGGCTACCTGGTACCAGTCCCCATGGTCCAAGACCCACAGAGACCACAGACCGGAGACCAGAGCCCGTTGTGGCTACAGCAAAGCGCCACTGTTTGGATTTCAGTCGGGCCCATAAGCTGGGTCTCTCTCTACTTCTCACTCGTGCGGCTCCACGCTGGCTCCATTTATTTTCAAGCCAATAATCTATAAATATTCATAAGCCAGCGCGCACAAAGTCGCTCGTTCCGCCTGGCTCCTGGCTTGCGAAAGCCAAACATGCTCAAGACTCTTGGTCAGCAGGTCCAGCCCATTAGATGAACAATTTTTGGATTTTTACTGCTCGCGGTGACAACTTTTAAAAGCCATTCAAACAACAAGAATTGGGTTAAACACATATTTTTGTGATATATTCAAAAAATTACATTCTATATGTTCAAACAAAACCTCGGCAGCAACTTCCTGCAAATTGGCTAAACGAAATTCAAATTCAAATTCCAGACATTAATGCGATTATTGTGAGAGATGTGAATCATTTGGAGAGGAGGCGTAGCTGTCACTTAAGTTAAATCAATTTGTAAAGAAAGCAGAATACAAACATTTTTTTGGTCGAAAACTAAGCAAATGATTTGTCATGCTGAAATGTTGATTGATCGACAACGAATACAAAAGACTGAAGCAACGAACTTGCAACGAGCGCATGTTGGTGTTTTAATTCAGATAAATGAGTTCAAAGGGAACGCTGGCCAAAAATACGTACAATTTAAATGCAATTAGCACACAATTAATCTTGATCAACATGAAGATCAATGCGAACACTGCAAATACCATTTTGTAGCGCATTTGTTTAGCGTTTATTAAATCAATTCAGGAATTCCTTAATGCAACAGAATTTTTGTATAATACCGAAATGGATTTTTATAAATTTTTTATAGATATATTTGGCGAGTAATCCTATAACTTAGTCACGGATTTTTTCACAATTTTCTAAATAATATTTAAAAATTCCTAGGCCATTGAATTTTTAATAATGTGTACAGGGCATAATTTAAGACCTTTGTGTTAGAGTAGTCGAGCTCGTAAAAAATTGTAATAAAAATATCTTGGAATATCAGAATATTTTGCCAAACAATAACTTAATTTTCGACTGATCGTTCCTATGGCAGCTATCTGATATAGTGGTCCGATCCGGTCGGTTCCGACATATATTCTGCCTGCCTTTAAAACTGAGAGCCTAGTTCGCATAGAATATGGCAATATCAACTGGATTGTTGATGTTGATCCAAAATATATACCTAATGGTGTTTCCTTCTGTGCCTTACACTTTTTATGGCAAAATATAACAGCCTCTTCGGTCTTATAAAACGCGCTAGCAAAAATGATATCCAGTTGCATAGTGTAACCAATTCGTCAGGAACCCGGAAATCCAATTAGTTGTTTTAAGATGAACCCAACGAACCGAACCAAATTTGTTATAAGCTGGTTTCCCCAACATAATAAACCTTTTTAGGTAAACTGAGCTCAAAAGCATAAATACTTGGGCGCCACATATTACATTTATCCAACCACAATTAGAAGTTGTCAGTTTTGAGTAGAGAATATATAGAGAATATTGAATTAAACCAAAAATTGAATTGATTAACCTTAAGGCAGAAAGCTGCTTCGAATTGTCAATTGAACTATTTACCAATTTTAAGCAATGCAGCCCTATCAGAGTACACACATCTTTAAATATGCCTTGGATACTTAAACTTAAAAGTAAGAAGCCTGTAGTAGAGTGCCGAGCTGGTGTAACAAATATTCTAGATTCTTTATATAGTACATATGTACAGATATGTGTCCTTATAAGTTGCAATATATTAATAAAAGTTATCGACATCGATATTTATCGATCGCGTGGAAACTGAGCGTGTTAACGATGATATGAAATAGGAGGAACTACGTTTTCTGTCCAACTATACGCCACAACAAATACTAAAAAAATCATGAGTATGATTGCGTTTTTGAAGGGAATCTCTTGCCATTCCGGCAAGTATTTAGATGACACATTGACTTGTTTTGGATACTAAGTGTATCTGCGACTAATGTCAATAACTTGAAAATGAAGTTCCTTAGCCTTTGGCTTGGGTTGTTTTGACGTTTTACTTCATTTGAATTTGGGTTAATCAGCGATAAAGCGCTCATCGACGTCCCAAAAAGCGCGTGCGAAAATTATTTATTTACAAGCAACAAATAATAATAATAATAATAATGCATATACATATATGTTTATTGTATGAGAGAGAGAGAACACAAACTGACTTATTATAAATGGGCCTTTTGTCTTTAGCTGCTAATTGCTGCTCATTAATTTGCATGTGAAATTAATTGCCAACATTTATGCATTGTTGAGTCGCTTTGTTGCTGCTGCCGCATCTCCAAAGTGTTATTACTTCCTAGGCAATCGGTTTTCGACAAGGTACGAAACACATCGCCTGTCAGCGCACTCAATAACACAAGATATAATAACATTTTCAGTTTTCGAGTTCAAGTTTTTGCAATTGACCCATAAATTCATTATGCATGCACAGTTGGTAATTGAATTCATATTTTTGCCTTTTACATTTGACATATGTACGTATACGTAAGACGATAGACGGACGTTCGGTATGCGATTGAGCTTTTTTATTTCCGTCAACATTTCAGTTATTAGACACAATTACAATTAATTTTCGTTTCAATTTCAATGGGCACGCAGCGCGTTTGGCTGGACATCGATTGGATAATGCGTTGAAAGGTCTTTGGTTTCAATCGGATCTCATGTGCCAAAAGACTTGATGGCTTTTTAATGCCCGCCCAAATGTCATGACCGAGCATTTGGTCGAGGGTCGCGCATAGGTTAGAGGCTAGACCATGTGAATTGTTATTTTGAATAACCTTTAAAGCTCACGCCAAACAAAAATTTTTGAAAAATAATTGGAGCGCATTCTTAATTAGTATTCCATTTTTTCTCTTTAATTTTATATATTTAAATTATATTACAGACCTGGTTGCGTGACCCATAATTCAGAAGTTAATAAAACACGTGCTGTACGAGTTAACGTGAACATCAATAAAATAATATAATATTGCAATTCAAATCGGGATTATAAAAAGTATTTTGATTCGAGTTCTCGTTACTGTTCACATTTCGTTCGAGTTCACAATTTATATGCAATTAGCAGATTAGTTTATTGTACCTGTCGTTGATTTCAATTACAATAATTCGATTTATTGGGAACATTTACATACTACACATTCATTAATTTATATTTTAATTAAATTAAATTAAATCACTCTCTGCCAATTGTTGAATCGTTTATACTACCGAGACTCCGTCAGCGTGAAGAACACCTTCAGCGTGGCCCGCTCCCGACGATCGAAACTGAACGTGGAATAGATCGCATAATCGCCGCCAGGAAGCGGCAGCAAATCGAGCGCCTTGACTGGAAACCGAAAATGCTCCACGCGCAACTCAGACTGGAAATAAATTCAACTGTAGTTAGGAATCAATGAAAAAGGGTGCCAAAACATTACGGGTAGTGGGCATTTGTTGACGTTTGTGTGATTCGCGAAGCTATTGAACACGATGTTGACAAAGGGATGGTTCCGCTTCTCCAGATACTCGCACACATCGCAGTGCCTCACATCGTAAAGGAAGGGCTTGTAGCCGCTGGCGCGTTTCAACAGCTGTATTCGCATCTGAAGAAAGTGAAACCAAAATAACAAATTAACAGGAAACAAGAAAGAAGCACAGGGAAAATAGTTAGTGCCGAGTATGGTTAAGATATCTTGAAAAACAAAAAAGTTTTCCATGCAATAACCTATTTTTCGACCGATCGTTCCTATGGCAGCTATATGATATAGTGGTCCGATGTGAATAAGATTTTACATAAATGTATGGAACATGGTGAAACTTATAAATGGCAGGTTTGGTCAAGATATCTTGAAAAACAAAAAAGTATTCCGTACAACAAATTAATTTTCGACCAATCGTTCCCATGGCAGCTATATGATATAGTAGTCCGATGTTGATAGGATTTTGCAAATATATGAGGAGTTTAGTAAAACTAATAAATGCCGAGTTTGGTCAAGATACCTTAATAAACAAAAAAGTTTTTCATACAGGAACCAGGCAGCTATATGATATAGTGCTCCGATCCAGCTGGTTCCGACATATGTATGTACTGCGTGCAACAGAAAGAGGGACTTCTGCAAAGTTTCATAAAGATAGCTTTAAAACTGAGAGACTAGTTTGCATAGAAACAGACAGACGGACGGATCGACTCGGCTGTTGATACCGATCATGAATATATATACTTTATTGGGTCGGAGATGTCTCCTTCTATGCGTTACATAATCCACGACAAAATTATAATACCCTATGCAAGGGTACAAAAATTTCGAAAAACAGCAACATCAACGGTTCCAACATATATACTGATATAAACTGTCTGCATCAGAAATACGTTCCCTGCAAAGTTTCTGGACGATAGCTTTGAACATGAGGAACTTGATTGCCCAGAACTTATTCTCAAATATATATGTAAAATATAGCTAGAGCCGTAGAGTTCAAGAGTGTACGAGTACATTTAAAATTCCATTATTTCTGAAATAATGATCTGATCCAATCCAGCCAACTTCAGCGTGTATTCAGACTGCAGTAAATAGACAGATCTAGGAAAAGTTATTTCGAAATATTTTAAGACTGAAAGGCTTATTTGCATTGGAAAATGTGTGCTTAAATAAATTTCTAGCTTATCTCCAAAAATGTCTCATATTAATCATATTAATTTCTAATTATAGAAATAGGTTAATATTTTAGGCAGACTCTAATGCAATTACTTAAAAATAGTAGAATGAGGTGAAATTGACAGTTACAGATAAGTCAGAGGGGGGGAAGTGTCAAACAAAAACAATTCGTTTAAAAATTTATTTCATATTTAAATATATTTTGACAACGAAATCCTCTAAATATGTGTTTTTTTGGCTTCATCACGCGTTTCCTGGTAATCATCTTTGGCATCTTGGTGCCGGCACGCTACACGCACAAAGCGCTGGGCGAGGAGGAGCTGAATGCGTGGGGCAAGTACTGGGTTGTCTATGCGTGGCTTGTGTGCATGGAGGTAGCTGGAGACACTCTCTTCAATTGGCTGCCATTGTATGTGGAGACGAAGCTGCTGATCGTGCTTTGGTTGGTCATCTCCGCGCCCCAGGCCAGCGTCTGGGTCTTCGATTCGATTCTGAATCCATTGTTGGGGCGCTATATGTTGCGGATTGATGATATTCTGCTGCACGGCAAGCGGCATCTGCTGGGCGATGCCCTCAGCTACTCATTGCAACTGTGTTCGCGCAGTATGGACACAATAGTTCCCAAAATCTCGGAAATTTGGAAAAGGGCAAGCCAAGCGCGTATGATCAGTTCTACTGGCGTGGACACAGCCACCGAGGCTAGCAATCCCCCCTTTCAAGAAGCGGAAACCGTGACCAATACTAATACAAATGTGTATTTTGATCCAAGCATCGACGACGAATCGATTGATGTGGCACAACAGCCTACCTCATATTCCAATACCTATCTACCGGAGCAAAGAAATAAGTTGTCGAAGCTTTCGCTGCCAGACCTGGCCACGAAGTTGAACGACAAGGCAATTCGGCCATCGATCAGCCGCCCCTTAATGAAGCAATTTGTATACAACATGCCGGTCGAGGATCTCACCATAAGTGAGGACCCACTTTCGGATATGGAGGATCTGCTGAAGAGCGAGCGCATCGCCGCTGAGCTGCGTCATCGTCCGATATCCATGCTGAGAGATCATCGCCGTCACTATCAATAGGTTTCGCAACATAGCACTATCTGTATTCCACTAAATTCACTGTTAAGCGACTGTTAACTCCTCTGTTAGGCAGCGAACTTTTGAAAGCCTGCTAATACGTTAACATGACGTCATTTGCAGAGTCTCAAAACTCTATTCGGACGCAGGGTTATCGATTAAATAAATCATTTGAATCTAAACAATATTTTTCAATTAATATTGATTAATTTACTCCAAGTTTCAAGCTTCAGAATTCTTCCGTCACGTTTAGCAACAATTAATTGCTCTAATATAAATATTAAATAAGTATTTATATTGACTAATTAATGGATTGGGAGGCTGGAATTTTGACTGTTAATATCTTATGTCATGCAAGTGAACGGTAAGATGGGATTTTGGAAATTCCATTCGCAACTTTAAAAAAGTACAGTTAACTATTTTATTTTGTATTCAACCAGCTTTAAAATTTTAAATGTATAAATAATAATAAATAATAGACCTGCTTCGCAAATTTATTAAAAATTTCCTAGGTCGGAAAATGAAAAATAGATTAAATTCTACGATCAGCGCAGACACATTTAGCTATTTTGGAGAGCCCAACCCACAGTCCACTATTGATTGATAATTTTGAAAGCTTTTTCCAAAACATTTATGTTGATTGCTTAGTAAAATATGCTTCACGGCTTTGGCAAATTCCAAATGTGATTCAGAACATCGATTGCGGGAAACGTCTCTTGTAAAATTATTTTCATATAACTTATATTCAAAACTAATAAAAACTACTTGGTTTACTAATACACAAATTTTAATATCTTTGTGAGCATTCCGCATTCATATAGCTGGAATTATTATACAATTTTGTGAATGTTTATATGGAATAATTAAAATTTTTAATTCAAATGATGGATGGCTGCAAGGCATCTGTTTAGTAAAAGTTAATGTTAAGAATAACTAAAAAACAGATTTTGCATATAAATAAAAAAAAAAGTATAATTTAATAAGCTTTATTAGTACAACTTGAAATAAATGCCTTTGAGATTTGCTGTAAACTAATCGCCCAGATAAAGAACTTATATACTTTGTAGAAAATCCACGAGAACTTCATGTGAAAGCGTGTTTTGTTTACGCACGTATATATATTTGTTGCTGTAGGTTAATCGATTTAAAATGTTGTTTTGACAATTATATGATGAAGAGATTGCTCAAGTGAAGCGTGTATTGGGAAACTCACCGCAACTGGGCTTTTGGGAAATTGCATGATCTTTACTCGTAAACTCATTTCGGCCACGTCGCGCTTAACCGCGTACAGGCGACAGACGGTAAACAGGGTGAAGTTCGCGTCCTGGCTGACGCACTGCACATTTGTGAACTTGGCCAACCCGCTGACCTGAGAAGGGCGCACATTAATGGACAACTGTGGATAACCGACTCTTGCACTTGCCTGCACAATATTCCCGAGCAGTGCCAGGTGCACCATGAGCCGGAGCAGCGACATTTACAAAACAGATTCTCTATTATAAATTACAAAATTCGCTGCCTTGTCGAGTATATTTTCGAATTTGATGAGCACCAAAAAAAAAAACGCGTGCAAGCTGGCCAACAGACTTTTGGCCAATTATTTGTATTTCAAAATATTTTTCGTTCATTGCTGATAAAAAAGTAAATTGATCAGCATATGGCTGTACCGTCGCAATTATTTAGCAATTATATGAAAATTTGAATGTTTAATGAAAAGACAAATTTTAGACCAAGCCTTTTGCTGGTCTGTTTATAACAGTTATCTTAGTTAAGCGCATGTTTAGGTGTGTGTGTGTGTGTGTGGTGTGTTCATGGAAATGTTTTTTATCTAATCGCTGGCATCATCCTCATCATCATTACTTTCGTTGGTCTCCTCTTCCGTGGCCTCCGCTTCGCTTTCGCTTTGTTTGGCCTTCTTGTTGGACGTTGGCTCAACTGTTTTGCTCTTCTTTTTGGCTGGCTCACTGTTGGACTTATTGGCGTCCTCGGAGCTGGTTGAATCATCTTCGGATATGTATTCCTTGCTCTTAAAACCACTGCCCGACGTGTTTGCCTTTTTCGTGGGTGAGGGCTCCGAGATGCGTTTCTTAACCGGTTTGCTGCTGGGGCTCTCCTCATTGTCGCTCCCGGCGCCGGCGCCTGGTTTGTAATTGCGCATCTCATCCTGGTAGCGTTGCCTGTCCTTAGCAGCTATCTCCTCCCACTTGGATTTATCCTTAAGCTCCTTCCACATCTCACCGCCCTTCTTAGCTATTTCTGTCACCTTGATTCCCGGATTATCGCGCTTAATCTGCTCACGCGTATCGTTTAGCCACAACATAAAAGCTGTTGTGGCACGCTTCGGCTTGTTGGAATCTTTCTTCTTGGTGGTCTTTTTCTAAAGGGTGAGCACAAGAATTGGTTAGACTTAGGTTAATTACGATTTAAAGATTTGCTTACTGTGCGCTCCCTTTCTTTGTGTTTCTTCTCTTTTTTCTCCTTCTTTTCGCGCTTCTTCTCCTTGTGCTTCTTTTTGGACGCTGCATCGCTGTCGCCTCCGCCACCACCTCCGCTAGCATCGCTATCTTCATCTGAGTCGCTCTGCACGTTGCTATCGTACTCCTCGGCCACATCCGATTCGTTTTCGTTGGGCTTAAAGTCCTCGTCGGTGGACTCCTCGTCGGAATCGTCACCGTCATCGTCATCCTCCTCCTTCTCACGCGCCTCTGCCTTGAGTCGCGCCAGATAGGCATCCGGCTCGTTTTCATTGTCCGAGTCACCAAAGTCGACATCCTTGTAGCCGGTCTTGTCCTTGCCCATGTTGCTCACATGCAGCTTCTTCTGTGTGATAAAGTCAAACAGCTTGGCGTACTCCTCCTTCTCGATGGACGAGAAAATGTGCACGGTGCCATTCTTGAGTGTGACCTCAAAATCAAAGGAGCGCGTCGAGCCGCCGCTGCGGGCAAAGTTCACTGAGCTGATCTCTTCGAAGCGTATGTGTAGAGGTGGCTTGTGAATGTAGATAAACCCGCGCTCCAGCGGATACAAATAGCCGGCGGCGGCCTTGAACGAGCAACCAACTGCAGCTGTGCCAGAATGGCCAATAAAATTGCCCGGGCCTGTTATCTTTCGTCCAATCAGGACCTTCATCACCTTGCCCATGACCTCGTAAACCGGCCCAGACAGCTCCTTCTCCAGCTTGCCCTCATATTTGTCGCGCAACTCCGCCTCGCTGAACGGCAGCTCAATAGTGGTCTCCTCATCGGGCGCAAACAATAGCACTAGGTAGTGATACCGCGTCTGACCCTGCTTTATGGGCGGATCCAGCGAGAGCACAAAAAACATTTGACGGCTATCCTTATGCGGGAGCATGAACAAGCGCAACACCGAGTCCATGGGTATTTTGTAGTCGAATGTCTTGCCGTGCAGCTGGAAAAAGGTCGAGAAGATTTTGATATCGTATCGACCACGCGGCGTCAGAATGTGTATCTCGCGGAATATGGCAATGGACTCGCCAGATGCCGATATGACCGACGCCTTGTTCATAACATTCTGATGGAATTTTTCGACTGGATCCTCATCCGCCGACTCGACAGCTGGTATATGAAAGCGCATTTCCAGCAAACCCACGGGCGCATCATCATTCTGATGGAACTCCAGTGTCACCTCGTTCTTGCCTGTGACGCACTGCGAGACATGCGACAAGGGCACCTCGAAAATGGTCTTTGTATCCTTGTCGAAGCTGAGCACAGAGCCCATGAAGCGTGCTGTGCCCCAGTTCCAGCCCTTGACGCACATTTCCTTCTCCACCATTTCCTGCGAATAGGTCTCTTTGATGTACTTGCCCAGCTTTTCATTTTCGCTATCGCGAAATCCACTAAACCGATGAAGCGCTCCGCTCTTGGTAAAGATGCGTAGACCCCAGGTACCCACGAACTTTTGGGAATTGATCAGATCAATATCCTCGGCGGCAATCTGCTCCACTTTGCCCGTCTTGTTGTTTTTAAAGATTATGTTCTGTTCGGTGAGCTTCAGGCGTCCAGACGACTAAAGCCAATAAATCCATTAATTAATAATGCATTAGGGAGCAATGAAGACGACAGGGGAAGGGTAAACAGATGTCAGACAAATGTTGCTGGCAATTTGTGAATCAGACTCACCAAAACGCCGCGCACTTCGGCGTTTATGTCATTGTACTCCAAAGCGTCCACCATTTTCAATGTGCCCTGCACTAAATAATAAACCAATTAACTGTCAATTACACCACTCTGCGTAATTTATAAAACTAATAATACGCAAAATATTCTGCACGAGAGAAACGCCAAGAGCCGACTGCGCGCCTAATTTTAGGTTAGATGCTAGGGGTGAACTTTGTTCAGAGTTGCTACTTGTCACGAGTATTTTAAGGTATCGATGTTACAGCTGTACGTAAATTGTTAATATTAATGGGATATCAAATAGAAATATATGTGTACATCCATATTTCTTCATCCATAATGATTAATGCACTCAAACAAACTACTTTTTGATATCATTTTTAATATTGACAAACTTCTAACATCAAGCATAACACATATAAATATTGTAGTCCCCTTCTCATCGTTAATAAAAATGCTCTACAGTCCTTATTATTTCATTCAAGAGAACTACACAAAAATATCATAAAATAAGAGTCAAATTTTTATTCGATTTGATTAAATAGCTACCTAAAGTATTTGTGCATTTTGATTAAATTTTTAATTATTACCACAGCAGTTATTATTAGTCGGAAAATAAAAAACCAGTCACAGTATTATAAATATCGATATGTATTCAAAATTCCGATATATCGATATCTGAGAAGTGGATGGCAGGCTCAACAAAATCCCAACCTTAGCGCGAGTAAAAACAATAAACACCAATTTAGTTTTTTTAAGTCGCTCAAAGATAAGCTATACGTAGAATGCAGCGCGGAAAGATTTCGTTTGGCAAAATACAGCTGAACGTTAGCAAGACGCCTGCTGAGTCCGATGAGCCCGCCCAAGATGCCGGTGGCTTCAAGAAAATGGACAAGCAACAGATGATACGTCAAATTGAAGATGTAGCCGAGGACCTGGAGAGCCAACACCTTAAAGATGTGATGGGTATAAGCGGGTTTGGCCGCAAGGCCGCCAAAGTGTTTGACATCAGTGAGCAGATCGCTAAGGCGCGCACGTTTGCTCCACCTGTCCAGGAACAAGAGGCGAAGGAGGAAGACGAGGATGTTATAGGCCCGTTGCCGCCAGCTGCGGACACGGGAAGCCAGCAGCAGCCTGATACAAGCACTAAAAAGGAATCCAACGACAAGGAGGATCAGGAAGATGATGAAGATGAAAACGAGGATGATTCCGATGAGGATGAGGAAACCTTATCGCGCCGTATACCTTACACGCACGAAGTGCAAATGCAGCACGGATCACGGGCAGTCTTAGCCCTTGCTGGGGATCCATCCGGCGCACGAATTGTGTCGGGCTCCATAGATTACGATATGTGCTTTTGGGACTTTGCCGGCATGGATTCAGCTATGCGCAGCTTTCGTCAGCTGCAGCCGTGTGAAAATCATCCCATACGCGGCCTTCAATACTCCGTTACAGGCGACATGATCCTGGTTATCTCGGGCAACGCCCAGGCCAAGGTGCTGGATCGAGACGGCTTCGAGAAACTGGAATGCTGCAAGGGGGATCAATACATAAGCGACATGACGCGCACCAAGGGCCACGTTGCGCAACTCACATCTGGCTGCTGGCATCCATTTAATAGGGAACAATTCCTGACCGCAGCGCTCGATGGCACATTGCGCATATGGCAGGGGTTACGAGCCAAGGAGCAGCTGCAGGTGATCAAGACACGTGCTCTGGGCGGCCTGAGAACCAATGCCTCCGCCTGTAATTTCAATCGGGATGCGACACTAATAGCCGCCGGCTGCGTGGATGGCTCCATACAGACCTGGGATACGCGAAAGATGTTTGTGAATACCACACACTGCGTGCGGACGGCGCACCAAAAGGGTTCGGAGATTACATCCATTGTGTTCTCATACATGGGCCAGCAACTAGCCACGCGTTCGAATGACGAGACCATGAAGCTCTGGGACCTAAGGAATTTCAAGGACCCGCTGCACACATGGTCGAATCTTTATTCACGTTACGACACAACCGATTGCAGCTTCAGTCCGGATGATCGCATGCTGGTCACCGGCGAGTCACTGCCCAAGGGCCAAAAGGAGGCCCATCTTTATTTTTTCAGCACGCAAAGCTTCGAGCAGGTGCAGCGTATACCCGTAGCTGAGTCGCATGTCATCAAGACGTTGTGGCATCCGAAGCTCAACCAACTTTTTGTCAGCTGCGGCAATGGGATCATCAAATGCTTCTACGATGAACAGCGCAGCATACGCGGCGCCAAGCTGTGCGTGGTGAAGATCCATCGCAAGAGGCAACAAATGGAAATGGTGGGCGTGTCCCAAATCATAACTCCACATGCTCTGCCGCTGTTTCGGCAGGAGAAGACGCGTTCTTCGCGCAAAAGGATGGAAAAAGCACGCATGGATCCGGTCAAGTCCAAGCGACCGGATTTGCCAATTACCAGCGGCCAGGGCGGACGTGTCGCCAGCTCTGGCGGCACTCTCTCCTCCTATGTCATACGCAATCTTGGCCTGAGCAAACGCGTCGACGATGATCAGGATCCACGTGAGGCCATACTTAAGTATGCCAAGGATGCGGCAGAGAATCCATATTGGATTGCGCCCGCCTACAAGCAAACTCAACCGAAGGCCATATTCTCCGAGAAGCTGCCCGCCTCCGAAACAGCACCGGCGGCCAAGAAGCCCAAAACGGACACAGATGGTACATAGTTTAATTAATTTTCTTTTAAGTACAAACCCAAATAAATGAAGAATATAGTTACTATTCTTAACTCTCTGTCAAAACCTTGCAACCTTACTTTATGGGTTCATTGGAAACCCAAAACGATCGAAAATATTTTTATTTGTTTGTAGTCAATAACTCAGTACAAACATAGATTCTAAGAACCAATATCTTCTTTGACCTTTGTCCATTTATAGTTTTTAATTAACGATATCTTATTTGACCCATGTTTAATGTAATGAAATTTGCAAGTATAGTGACACGTATGGCATATATAAAAATAATAAAAGTTTACCATAGATAAAAATTATCTTTTTGTGATCTCAATAAAAATAAGCTTACAGCAAGAGATAAACATGGACCATGCTTTTTCCCGTGGGGCGCGCTCAAAACTATGCAACATTTTATGACATCAATTTATAACGAACATATAACAACGAATGTATATCTATTTCAAGGTTTTTAATCAGAAATCAAAAATGATCAGAAATGAAGCAGAAATGGTTGGTATATATAGAAAAATGAATAAAAATTCAACTTAATTGCTTAGCTTAAAGAAGTCAATGTCTCTAAAGGAGAGCTACAATAAAATCAGATATAGATATGTCATTAGATACAGCTTTTGACCAAAACCAACCAGTCGAAAAAATGTTACAGAACAGAAGTGAAACAGATATTAGAATAACCAAAAATGTTATGAAATCAATAAAGATCCTGACATTGGTATTCTTAAGTTTTGGAAAAATAAAACTGAAAAACCAACTTTTTAATAAATATCAAACACATTAAATAAGTGCAAACATTGAGAAATCTTTTTATAGAAATATATCAATATGTCAATATATTAAACAATATCATGAATTCTTCTTATGATAGAAATAAAATAATTGTTGGGATGGGCTGGGCCGTGAGTTTGAACCTTTTTCCATTACGTGCTTGAAAAACTTAGTTTCGTATTCCCGTTAGGCCGTTCCATAAGAAAAGGATCGCGTCCATCTCTAGTTGCAGTGTGGCCGTGTTTTGACTGTAACTAACGGCAATCCTTGTAAAAATTCAAACTATTTTTTTCTATTCACTCGGTTTAAACTTTTATTAAACATACATATTACATGAGTTCTTGAATTTACTGGTTGATTTTAATTTTGTTTATTTATTTATGCGATTTAATTTGTTTTTTTATTTTGTGGTATGTAGTACATTTGTATGTGTTTATGTATTTATTTAATGGGATGCGCTTGGTGTATAATACTTGTACATTTATGCATGTATGTGTATATTTATAGGTATATAGAGCCATTGGTTAAATTGCAGCTCATCATCAACATAACTTAAGTGCACGTGTGCATAATTATTTCAAATTATGCAATCATTTGTTTATATAGTAAATACCCCAAAGACTCATAAATGTGCTGTACATAAGAGCTAGCATAATTATAATTTGAAAAAGTCCTTGAAACATATCCATTGAATATTATTAACAATATCTAATACAAGTTGAATCCGTTAACGATAAGTAATTAATATAGATTTTTGCTTAGTTATGTATAGGTATGTATATATGTATATATAGAGTAATTGTTTACATATTAATATCAAGTAAATAGAACCAGCCCGGTTAAATCAAAATTTATATCTTAGGTACATTCCTGCATATTCTTACTTCCTTCTCTCTTTTTTTTGCAATTTCTTTTTTATTAGACATGTATTTCAAAATAGCCATTTATAATCGTATACATACAAATATGTATAGTATACATACATACATATACGCTATGTACTTGTACATTAGTACTAAAGAGCATCTGTAAAATTAACATATTCAACAGTTGATTGTTATGAGGCGGATTTTCATAATATCATTCGTTACAGCATTTGTTTCCTCTCTACATTTTCTATCTTTATTTAAGTTCTTTTCGCATTGTTTATGGTTTTTTTTTTAGCTCAAATATAGCATTACATCCAACTACATACGTATTTATATTGTATCTTTGCTTTGTCGAATTCTCTTTTATGTTAACCTGAGAAATGAATTCAATATAAAAGCGATCTAAACGAGAAACTTAACTCACAGGATTACGAATTATTTTAATATAATTTCCATAAATATTAAATAAAATAACATAAATAATGATAACAAATAATATACAAAATAAATAAACCTCAAATTGAATCATCTTCCATTTTGTGTCTTGTAAAATATAATTATTTCTTCAATTGATATTTCATTTAATTGTTTTCTTTTTTTTTCTATTATAGGTACTTTATGTGTAATTTCCATTTAGTTATGTTTTTCCTGTGTTTCATGGAGTGTGTGAAATTTATTTTCATTGGTTCCTCTAGGACTAAGTGCTGTGCCTTCAATGATCCTTTAAATATCTCTGCTCGTATAGAGCCGCTTTCGTGTGATATGATTGCGATGCAAATAATATATAAAATGCTTATAAATATTATAGGTTAGGCAAATAATTTATGTGCAATATTATAAACAAAAAGTTGTAATTTGTCTAGCTTTGATCTAAATAAGCTATATCAACACTTATGCAAATAGCTGTAACTAATGGCAACGGTAAACAGTTAATAAATAAATAGTATTCACTTGTAATTAGTTTAATTAGCGCTATGACAGCAAATGTATTGCTTTATGTATATGAACCTCCAATATAAAATATATTTATTCATCTTTTGGTTTATGTTATTCGTTTATATGGCATATTTTTTCATGTATAATATAAGCACCAAAACCCATAATAAAGCAATGTATCAGGCAATTAATATTGCAGGCCAATGTCCAAGATATGTTTTCGGTTATATATTGTTCATTCTGTGCTGGTGTTCATGACTATGTGGTGTTTGTATGTATTTCCGTTTATACCCTATACCCATCGAAAGTAAAGGGTCATTTGATTTTGTGCAGATGTATGTAACAGGCAGACCCCACAAATTATATATATTAAATTATATATGTATATATATGTATATATATATATATAAAACTGGAGACGAACTTTGAAAGGTAGGTCTTCCTTTTGCCCAAGCATATCAATTTTATTTGAGATCATTGATAGCTGACACTGTTATTCACGATATCTATTATAATAGATATTCCGATTTATATGCATAGACGGGCTTTATAAGAGCTAGAGACACCAAATGTATTATGTAGGCTCTGCTATAGAATACACAGTTCCAGAATAGTTCACTTTTTGCGTACCTGCTCCCGCTTTACCAAAATATAATATAAATAACTGATTTTTCTTTAGCCGTGAAAATATTATAAAGATCGGAATCTTAAAACAAAAGTGCGGGGCTAAAAGTAGAGTTTAAATTTACTAATTTAAAAGGAAGCTCGTATGATTGCTACGGCATCTCGATGCTGGGTACAGGGTATCTTCTAGTCAGTCACTACCGACTAGAGCACTCTTACTGGTTCTATGACGGTGTTTTGTATGCGAGGACTATTTGTTAACTGGGGGGAAGTCACATGGGTTTACTGTGCAAACGGATTGTGTGGACTGGCACCGGGTATGTCCAGGTTGCCGCCTGTGGTCTGATAGGTGCCATACGGTCCTCCATTTGGATTCATCTCGTTCAAGCGCGTGTTGGACAGAGCCCGTGGTATGGGATTGCTGGGCACGCCATGTGGAGCCAAATGGGAAGTTTCTTCGGCCACCTGTGAATCGAAGAAACAGTTAAGAATATGCCCAAGAACTATATTGACCAAATTCGACAATATAGGTAATACCTCAGACTGATTCACTTAAGATGGTGACCCTGTATAGATATAATTTACCTGATGGGGATCTTCGGTGACGGGTATTTCCGATATGAAGCCCTGCTCCTTGCGGTAGAAGTTGATGAAGATGAACAGGCCGAGCACGAAGAGACAAGCGATACCATACCAACGGAAGGTAGCAGTAGTACCGTAGTAGGTGACAAACATACCACCAATGATGGCACCGCAGCCGCGACCTAAGCCATGATGGATGCCCTGGAGTACGCCCTGCGACGAGGCGCGCAGATGCTTGGGCGTGTTGTGAGCAATGTAGGAGCACGAGGCGGCCCACACAGCGGCATGTGTAATGCCCTGCATCAGTTCGAAGGGCAACACCATCCATGGATTGGTCAAATACGAGATGTACAGAAAGCGCAACACATTGCCCATCAGGCCCAGGCAGAGCACCTTCACGTGCCCAATCTGGGTGATCAGGCGAAAGCTGAAGAAATAGGCAAAGATCTCGGACACGTGATTGATGACGGAGGCGACGCCGAAAAGCGTGGGCGTGCCGCCATAGTCTTGCAAATGCCAGAACAGAAAGGTGAAGATCAGGCCAATGCCGAAGCCCATGAACCAGGCGACAAACAGAAACGAGGCGGTCTTAAGGTCCTTAAAATGTGTCAGCACCGTCACCCACTCGGGCAGCTCCTTGGCCGTCTGTGCAAACACCTTGGACTCGGCGCCAATGTGCGGCTGCGGCTGATGGCCGGCAGCATTGAAGCTGCTGACGCCGCCAGCGCAGGCACCTGAAGCGGCGCTGCCGCTACCCACAGCCAGTGATGGTAAATTGAGCTGGGCGGCCAGCTGGTTCATCGACTCCTCCTCGGCCTTTTTGTTGGGATCCACGAACTGGGCCGATGCCTGCTGCTGGCTCTCATCGATGGGCTCGTACTTGAAGGTGATCTTCGAGGCCGAGATAATGGCGCAGGTCATCAGCACCGAGAAAATTGAAAAGCAAATATTATAGTTCTTCTCCTTGTTGCCGGCGCCGCATGGATGATTCGAGAACGAGGTGGAGTGGTCCAGGGCAATGCCCACCAAAAACATTGAAATTCCCCAGCCGAGCGAGCCAAACATGCGCTGATGTCCATACTTATCCGCATCCTCGCCGAGAAGCGTTATGACCGCCGAGTCGGCCAGTGTTATGGCCGGAGCACTAAAGAACTCACCAATCAGGATGACCAACAGCAGCAAAAAGAATGCCTTCTGAATGTCCTGCAATAGTTACAACAAGGAGTGCCACTCAGCAGGCTCTTGACTCCACAAAACGTCGAATACTTACTGGCGTGCGGTACACCATGGAGCTGAAGATGGGCGTCACATAATCCCGATGGTGCTTGTCATCGTAGTTGCTCACGAAGTTGATGTGCACCGGCGAAATGCCCGCATCGATGCGTGGCAGCAGCAGCGATCTCTTGTGTCTACTGTGCCCCGATTCCGATTCGGCCTCCGCCTGCTCGTCGGCCTCGTCTGCGAGCATATTGTCATCGTAGTCGGCCTGATCGTGCTCCAGCTGACTAATCGGCTCGTACATGGCTGAGGTGTCGCGCTTGGAGCGCGTATAGGTGAGCACAAAGTCGGTGGCATTGCGGCGCTCGATGCAGTTGACGGCCTCCGGGCGTATAAAGCTCAACGGTATGGTGAAGAGCACCCAGCAGGCGAGAGAGGCGAGCAGCAGCTTTTTGCCCTGCCGGCAGCGATCCGCATAGGAGCCCCAGAATGGTGCCGAGAGGAACTCGACGAAGGGCCGCATGCCAACCAGTATGCCGCATTGGCCGGGATTCATGCCCATCTGCTTGAAGTAGACGCCCATCAGCGGGAACAGTGATCCGAATGCCGCATAGAAGAAAAAGTAAAAGCTCTTCACCGGTATCAGCTCCTGCTCCGTGCCGCCAAAAAACATTTCCAGGACTCCCGAAGCGCCGCGCACTTTGTGCGTTGAATCCTTTGCCTCCGGATATCTGCAAAGCAAACGTCATCTCCGCCGGACTACAACTACTAAAAGCCACTTACAAGTTGGGATCCACTTCGCCGCTGGCCTCAACGTCGACGCGCGGCCTAGCGCCCGCTGGTCCATAGCCAGGGGCCTGCTGCTGCCCATAGCCGATGCCCGCTCCTCCGCCCTGATCATAGCCAGCCGTTGGCTGTTCCTCGTAGCCATAGCCCATGCTCGACTGCTGTGGCTGTACGTAGCCGGGCGTACCAAACGGATTGGCCGCGCCACCTCCACCTGCACCACCGACCGCAGCATTATAGGGATTCATTTGTAGGCGCACTCAACTCTGACAACGTCTGTGTCTGTGTGTGCTATTATGCCCGCTTCCTGTTTCCTGACACTTCCTGCCCTGCAGCTCTTTTGTTTCAACTGTGCTTTTGTGCGTTGCTGCGCTTCTCGACTACAGCATCATCCTTGTTATTTTCCTTTAGCAGCTGTTTAGGAAGACAAAGGGCCAATTAGTGCTAAACGCTTTGTAAATGCTCGCCGACTGGGCAGGGGGCGTGTGGGTGGGCGAGTCCGGCAGCAATTATGCTCGATTTAGGATCAAACAACATTTATAACCAACGCTCATCCAACCAAGTAAATACTTTCAATATAAATATTTTGTATACAACAAGGCTGCAAAGCTGCTTTGAACACTTTGAGCTCGGAATTCCACTTTACAATGAGCCATGAACCGAACTGAACTAAGCCCAAACCAAACTATATTCGCTCAATAGAATCAGAATCACAACACAATTACAACTAAAACCACATATGAAAAAATTAACTAACAAATAAAAATATGACAATAAATTAAACATATAAACATAATTTCAAAGTAATGTCAGATCTATGTACAACTAGATTCCGTTGCATTGCAATTTATTTTATTTTGGCTGTTTCAGATCTCTCTAGAAAATACCTAAACTAAGTGCTGAATTTTCTACTCTTTTAGGCTCTATGAAAAGCGGGTCCAATTAAGCGCTTACCTATAACATGTAAAGACTTTTCACCTGTTGAGGATTGACATATAGTTTTCTGTTTGTCTTAGATATATCAAAGGAGGTCCGATGATTCCCTATCTTACAGGCAGGCTAATGCATTTCCCTTCAGCTGTCCCGCTTAACATTGAAAACACACATTTCATAATAAATGACAAAGCGGATGACACAATAAAAAACGGATTGAGCACTCTGACGGTTAGCGGGTGAGCTGTTGAATTCTGCAGGGAGAGGGCGCCAGAGGGCGCTCGGCTTTGCTTGAGTGAGTTAGTTGCATTAGCTATGAGCTTTGAGCGTCGCGTCGAGTTCAACTGAGCGAATGAGTGAATTTCGGTGAGTTTTGTGCCTTGCAGCTTTTTTTTATCACACATACGCACAGTTGGCACGTTCTAAATGTAGGTAAGTGGGTTTGTCTACCATAGTACCCACATATGTATGCGTGCTTGTGTATGTGTGTGTATACACGTATGCATGTATATAGAGCAGACTTGTTGTTGTTTTTTTCTTTAAAATAAAATATCTGCTTATGTTTTAAGGGAGGATGTGAAAAGTCGATTTTAAAAAATTAATGCAAAAGTTTCTGATTTCACTATTGTTTTTGCCTAAACATATGTCGGAACATGAATGTATATACTACTATATATATGTATATAGTAGAAATAATAAAATACTTTTCACAAAGCAAAAAAAAAAAGTAGTCCTTGAATTACACAACGATTTTAATAACAAGCACTTTAAATAGATAATCCATTTGGCAGAGCTACTCTGCATAGTCCTAAGCACAGTTGTGTGTATATACATATGTACGTGGTCTATATACACGGATAACTTGTGCACCATTTTGAAGGCCAACATTTTAAAGACACCAACGAAAAACAGTAACAGCGCAAATCACATCCACCCCAAAACTATGTATATCAGATTTTCTTTAAGGATTTCTTGAAGGTCTTTTATTTTTTGGAACTGCTTACACACCAATATTGTTAGCACATTTATTTGAAATTTTCACGGTAATAGCTCAAGGCAAGTGTTACGTGCGTAATCGATAAGCAAAGTTTTTCAACAGACAAGTCGCGTCTTGCCTCTATACGCGCATTTGACAATTTATCCAGCGCACACAATTTTTCAAGAGCCAAAAACGCTCAAGAACGAGGAAAAGCGGAAAACGGAAAAGCTCGCTCAAGCGCGTTTCGTTCGCTAAACTTAATGAGATTTGACACCGCTGACAGACGACATAAGCAGCGCCGGTTAAGAGAGGGCCCGGCACCCAAGAGAGAATTCGAAAGCTGACAGCTTGGCGCCAATCATTTGTGGCCCTTAAATCATATTCGAGGCTTTAGTTAGCGACTTTTTAAATTGTTTATTATAAACATTTGAAAATCAAGTAGGAAATCAAATCAATTTCAACTTGATTTAAATATTTTACTACGGAATATGTCAATTATAATTAATAATTGAATTGATAACGATAACTTTAGTTATAAATTATACATATACATATATATATATAAACAGCTATATGATTCTTTATGTAATAATTTGTGGCACTTAAATTATATTTGGAGTATTTCTTTAACGACTTTTAAAGTTGTTTATAAAAACTTATGAAAATCAAGTCGGAAAGCAAGTCAATTTTTTATATCCGATTGAATTATTTCACCCCTAAGGCATAAATAAATTGGAAAGTATAACAATCATTATTATATATCAAGAGAAATATGATTTTTAATTTAAACGGAATTTATTAACTGCATATTTACACAAAGCGTTTACGTCTCTGTAAAGCTATGGAAGCAAAAACCTTCATTATTTACCTTTTTTTTTTCATTCATTTGAATTTCTTTCTACAAACTTATATATGCATATGGATGATATCTTATTCTATTCCATGAAATAAATTTATTTAAGCAATTCGTTTAAGGTAGTAAATGGAGGTATAAAATAAAAATCAGGCCAGGAGATGTTCCCGGATAATTAAAATCCGCATAAAACCTGATTCAACTGTATATATATTGTAATTATTCCAAGCCTTGACCAGCCGCACTTTTAGCTAAGCCAGCAAAATATATATAGAGTTATATTCGTTATTTATTTTTACTCAGCTAAAAAAAGCACCTAAATTATCTCGTTTGTCATTCTCAAATAGATGCCGAGCGTAACAATTGATAAGCGTTTTCCGCTGGCGCGCTCCTCACTTAAGAAGAACGTTGCCAAGCATAATATAATTTACCTCATGTAAGCCTTTTGCTACAGCTACAGCATCACTCAATTTGCCATTTATTCGATTTCTTGAAAAACCAGAAATTCCCCACAAAAAATGTTTGTTTGATGGTATCGCAAATTAAGATTTATTTGATGTTTTCTTTTACGTCACAAGCTGGTATTTTGACGAAACGACTTGTGCTGATTAAGCTGTATACCCTATACGTATGTTCGCTCTGCTGTTTGAAGAAACGTAAAATATTATTTAAATATATAGAATATTATATTTATATATACAATTATAATTACAATTATTTGCTTCAAATTCACTTGGTGAGAAGAAAATTAGCTCAGTGTGAGCTTTAAGTTGCGAGTTTTGCCCAAGCGTAAAACTTCGCTTTCGCTCTTGCTTCGCTCGCTCTCCTCCTTTTCTCTTTGCATTTGGTGACTGCTCCTGCGCAAAAAATTCAATTAGGTTTTGCCAAGAACTCGACTCAATTCGAGCGGCATTTTACTCAACGCTCTCTTGTGGTTCATTCAAGTATTTGTTTCTTGCTCTTTTGTCTCTCTGCTTTTTTGTGTGCTAATAAACTGTTATTGTGCGCTGGGGAAGTTGTAATTATTTTGACGGCGATGAAGAGTGGAGTTTAAGGAGCTTCTTAAACTTCGCGATGTGAATGTGTATGCATGTTCATTTATGTTCAGGTATAAGCTGTGTATATCGTTGTATGTAGGTACGTCATGGGATTGATCGGTCGAACATTTTATTGCAGCCAAAAATGTTTGTTTTACTTGTACACAATCAAGTTTGAAAGGCTTTTTTTGAATGCAGATTGAGTTGACGAAAAAGAATCTTCTAGTTATTGGACATATGTCCCAAGAAAGTCTCCTTCCGTCCAGCTGCAGCTTAAAGCTCAAAAACCACCGCAAAGTGAGCGCAACAAGTGTAGGCAGGCAATCAAATTGTTTGGCTTAAAACCACGCGCGGGGATTTACTTGGGACGCTGCTGATAAGACAGACAAGACAACAGAGATCGATGACAGCTCGGGTGAATCACAATCAGCTAGCCCCGCACAGTGTTTCCCCAGAACAAAGGCCTTTGTATATAAGCGCCATGTGCGTCTACAGCCATCATCAGTAATCAGGAATAATACCTCAAAGCAACATGCAAAGCAGCAGCATTTTCATCCTGGCAGTTGTTGCCATTGGTGCCTGCGTCGAGGCCATGCCTCAGCGCTTCCAGACGCTACCATATTATCCAAGACCAACGGCACAAACGCGTCCCATTCGAGTGCGCCGCCAGGTCCTGGGCGGTTCACTGACTTCCAATCCGGCAGGTGGCTCTGACGCGCGCCTGGCGCTCAGCAAAGGCATTGGCACTCCCGATCACAATGTCATTGGACAAGTCTTCGCCGCAGGCAACACACAAAAGGGACCCGTTACCACTGGAGGATCGGTTGCCTACAACAAGTAAGTTAATCGAACCCTCTTCCTAATGAAGTGTTAACTAATGGACTTGCTTTCGCACAGTCATGGGCATGGATTTGACCTTACCAAGACCCACACGCCTGGCGTGCAGGACAGCTTCCAGCAGTCGGCACATGCCAATCTTTTCAACAATGGCAACCACAACCTGGACGCCAAGGTGTTTGCCTCTCAGAACAAGTTAGCCAACGGCTTCGAGTTCCAGCGCAATGGCGCTGGCCTGGATTACTCGCACATCAACGGGCACGGCGCCAGCTTGACGCACAGCAACATTCCCGGCATTGGCAAGCAATTGGGTCTGGATGGACGAGCCAACTTGTGGTCATCCCAGGATCGTAACACTCGCCTAGATCTGACCGGTACTGCCTCCAAGTGGACCTCGGGTCCATTGAACGGACAGTCCAACTTTGGCGGTGGACTGGGTCTAACCCATATTTTCGGTTAAATGTCAATTTAAATTTGACACTTACAAATATTTAAATTATTTATTTATATTACAAAATAAACAAAAAAATCATTTACAAAATCAATTTGCTGCTTTTGATTTTTTTAGGGATTATAAAAAGGGGTTGAAAGTGAATGTGGTTCCCAAAAAATTCCCAGCAGGGCAATAAAAGATGAAAAATGTTGGGGTATTTAATATTATGGAATTTCTACCGTATAAAGAGAGGATACCTTATTATGATTTATAGATTATAATTACTTTTATGTGCGTAAGCATTGAAGTGTTAATTCAAATTCCAACTGATATTCAGCATTACACTAATACATCCACAACCAACAATGTATGCACTCACACATCACATAGTTAAAGTAAATACATGCTATTTAATGCTATTAAGCCCAATAATTTTTTATTCCAGCTGTAAACTGTACCAAAAATAAAAAAAACAAAGTCAATGACTTTTTGGGATCAGTGAGGGCATTTTTTGGAGCACAAGGGAAATTCCAAATGTATCTTCCAATTTCGCAGATGTTACTATTTTCACTGTGAAAGATTTTGTCTGGGATCACCCTGATGCTACATATATTGAGCAGCTTGATTAAAGAAACTTAAACAAAATTAAAAGAATTTACATGTGTTACCTTAATTTCGACAAATATAATAAGTCCTTATCCGGACAGGCGTTTAATTCAAAATTCCCTATTGAGTAGACAGTCAGCTAAGTGCAAACTTTAAATTGCGAGGTTTCCCAATCGTAACAATCGACTTAACTTTCTCTCATTCTCTCTCCCCACTCTTTCTCTTCACTCGTTGACTGCTCTTGCGCATGAAATTCAATTATTTTTTTGCCAAAAAGTTCACTCAAATTGAGTGGCATTGTACTCAACGCTCTCTTCTGGTAATTCCTTTTGTTTCTAAATTATTTGCTCTCTCTTTCTCTTTGTAGACTGTAAATTTACTGTTTTTATGCTCTTCCGAACATACAATTATTTTGTGGGGAGTTGAGAGAGGAGCAGTAAGACAGGCCTCTTAAGGTCCATAATGTGTTATGTACGTAAACTTATACTAGTTCATCCCCGATCAGATCAAGTGACTTAGTCGCTTCAAGTAGATAACTTTGGGAAAAGTAAAAATTGAATTCCCATCAAAAATGTTTTCTGCCCTTGCTGGCACAATCAATCTAAAGCGACCTTTATACTTTCAAGTCTCACGTTCAATATAATGAAAAGTGTACAAAACTCCTTATTGACCTCCGGTAAAATTTCCTTCCGTCCAGCGGCAGCTTAAAGCTCAAAAATCACCGCAAAGTGAGCGCAACAAGTGTAGGCAGGCAATCAAATTGTTTGGCTTAAAACCACGCGCGGGGATTTACTTGGGACGCTGCTGATAAGACAGACAAGACAACAGAGATCGATGTCAGCTCGGGTGAATCACAATCAGCTAGCCCCGCACAGTGTTTCCCCAGAACAAAGGCCTTTGTATATAAGCGCCATGTGCGTCTACAGCCATCATCAGTAATCAGGAATAATAGCTCAAAGCAACATGCAAAGCAGCAGCATTTTCATCCTGGCAGTTGTTGCCATTGGTGCCTGCGTCGAGGCCATGCCTCAGCGCTTCCAGACGCTACCATATTATCCAAGACCAACGGCACAACCGCGTCCCATTCGAGTGCGCCGCCAGGTCCTGGGCGGTTCACTGACTTCCAATCCGGCAGGTGGCTCTGACGCGCGCCTGGCGCTCAGCAAAGGCATTGGCACTCCCGATCACAATGTCATTGGACAAGTCTTCGCCGCAGGCAACACACAAAAGGGACCCGTTACCACTGGAGGATCGGTTGCCTACAACAAGTAAGTTAATCGAACCCTCTTCCTAATGAAGTGTTAACTAATGGACTTGCTTTCGCACAGTCATGGGCATGGATTTGACCTTACCAAGACCCACACGCCTGGCGTGCAGGACAGCTTCCAGCAGTCGGCACATGCCAATCTTTTCA